GGAGGTCTCCGCCGCCCGCCGGAGACGGTGGGGGGGTTCCGGCAGCTGGTGGAGGTGAGGAGGCGGGAGAGGGAGCCTGCGCCCGGCAGCGCCTGGAGGTGCGGGGCGGGCTCGGAGAGCGCTCGCGGGGCTGCTCTCGCCCGAGCGGCGGCGGCTGGCAGTCGCTCCCTCTTTCCGTCCGCCCCCTTCCCTGGAGCGGCCCCGTCGCCACGCCAGGCCCCCTCGCCTGCCGTCGTCACGCTCCCGTTCTCCCTTTTTGGCACTTTCCTGTCGAGCCATCCTTCTGGACAAACTTTGATGGAGAATTTCACACCACGCTGGAAAAATGCCGGTTATGAAAGGATTACTGGCGCCCCAGAACACCTTCCTGGACACCATCGCCACCCGTTTTGACGGAACACGTAAGTCTTGCACTTCGACGAGTTGCATGGCATTTTTTGGAGAATGATTTGTCTCGTAAATTACTTTTGCTCCCGCCTTCCTTTCTGCACCAGCGGAGTGAAATTCTTTCTGTTCTCGCCAAAAAGAAAATTTCCCACCTCTCACGGGGGTGTGTAGTATTATCACATTGAATGGATGTAGTTGACCCCTTGACTTACTAGGTTTGTCAGGGCTGGAAAACAGCCTGAAGAAGACCGGCGCCTGTGTTCACTACAGGACCTGCGTTTTGGTACCTCTTTAAGGAATTGGTGATAATTTTATGAGGTAAAAGTGGGAATTGTCCATATTGGTGCCTTGCCACCTCATCCTTCTAGAGTGTTAAGGCCCCCTTAAAACAGAGTTTGGAATGGTTTTCCTCCTTGGAGTTTCATTGCCTGAGGTCTCTCCAATAGGCATGACTTCCTAGCTGAGTTAAAGAACATAAAACCCGGATTGGCAAGTATAAGCTTTCTTTAGGATTCTGAGTGTCGTGAGATGGTCAGAATTATGGTTCCTGCTCTTAAGCTAGTATAGCATACCTCTCCGTTCTGAAATTAGCCTAATAACCAGAGAAGAGATTTTGGAGAAAGACGACCTGGGCATAATAAAGCCGGAACTGGTCGCAAGACAAAGTTTAGATATTTTCTTAGGGCGGATGTTATCGGACGTGTAGCTTGCTTAAGCTACAGGTTAAAAACAAAGATAGACTGCTGTTTGAATGCTTGAAGGCTGTTCAGAATCGTCTGCAAACAGTTGTTCTCTTTCAGGACCACGGTCAGATCCCTGTTCCTTCCAAGGCTTCTCAAGCTCTTCATGGAAGCCCATAGAACTTCCCAGTAGGCTTGCATCCTGTAAGGAGGAGTCTGTACTCAACCCCAACCTAAGCTGTTGGTTTCACTATGGATAGGTCCACACCTTTCTTACCTTATGTTGATTTGTGTGTTGTCGGTTACACAGACTCGCAGAAACTCATTTATCCTAAAGCTTTTCCAGTGTTTGGAATACCATTTCTTTATTGTGACTATATTCCTTGGTTGCTGATAAGGAAAGGCACATCTAATTCTATTTCCACTCCAGTAGTCTAGATACATCCTGTTATTATGTAGGGAAGTAAGTCCTGGACTACTGCTCTTCAGGAATAGTTGGGAAAGTTTTCATGAGAGAGAAATGAAGCATTTACTTGATTTTGTTCAATTTTTATTTTTGACATCCAATTTAATCATGGTAGATACTGTGGATATTCGGTCACTTAGACTTTTATTTATCTTCAGCTTTGGCTATCTCTGTCCCTTTTAAAAAACATATTTCACTTGTCAAGCAGTATGAGTAAGTGTGATGCTAATATTTATTTGTCTTCCTTAGGTAATAACAAGAAAAGATGTTGTTATAAAACTTCAAGTCCCGGCCATCACCATTACCTCCACCACCTAACTAAACACCACACACAGTCACACTGCTGTCTTTAACCATGCTTGATTGTAGATACTTCTGCCTAATTATGTGAGAAACTCCTCGGTTTTAATATATTTAACCCAAAAGGTTTCAAGCATTGATCCCAAATGCACCCATTGAAAATGAGGTAATTGGTAAATGGTAGTGGCTTATCTCATTGTCATTTGACATTGAATGAAGTGCACTGTTTAGTGTATCATCCCAGCACAGCCATAGAAATGACCGCAGTGATATATTTAGATATCAATTATTAATGAGAGGGTCTCTGGACCTTCAGTGGGTTGATCCCTTAACACTCTTTCTCTTATTATAACATGTTAAGCTGAGGGCATGCAGAGAAAGATGGGTGTATAGGTAGACCACACTTTTTCTATTTTAACTGCATATTAATAAAATAGAAAATTAGGTATTTCAGAACCTCATTTGGAAAGACCATCATCACATACCAACATTTAGCATTAAAAACAAAACAGAACAGAACAACAACAAAAGGCCCTAATACTGTTGGAGGCCAGGCTTGGTCTGTGTTCCACCAGGTCTGGAGGATTTCCAGAAGGAAATTTGTATAGACTCAGTGTGAAAATTAATGCAACAGATTTCAAGGCAATGAGCAAACATAAAGGTTTACTTTAACAAAATTATGCTAACACCGCTTCTAGGTGAAAGAGAATCATCACATCTTCTCATTTGGTTTTTGTTTGACTTGTGGGATGACTTGAACAATTGGAAACTTCAAAAACACTTTAAACAAATTGTAGCCACAAATTTTGCTTTACCTAGAGTCCTGAGGCTACCATTTTCCCTGCTGATAATTGACTTTACCTTATCATACCATCTTTTCTTTCTTGATACAATTATCAAGTATAATTACTATACCAGAAATGCTTTTCCTGTAATTGTCATTTTTTCATGACTTTTTATAATAGTCATTCATTTTTCGTACCACAGCCACTTCAGTGCTAGTTCCATCTCCAGCCCCATATAAATTGGTTTCAGAGTTTTACATTTGTAAAATTTCCACCCACCCAAATGAAAATGATATGAGAATATTAATAAAATTATATTCAAATGCAGTACTTTTACTTGGTACATTTATTTCCACCTTAATTTGTTAAGTATATTATATCATCAAAGTTTTTCTTATTTTATTTTGGACAATTCTGATGAAGAAATAAGAGTAAACAATGTGGCCAACCACAATGTTAATTTAACTACTAGGCAGTGTTATTAGTGCCTTATAGATTTAATATTATAATGGAAAAAATAAAGCTTAAATTTCTCCCAGGAAAATATAGATTATGGTAAAAAACCTACAAGATAACCTTATTTATCAGTTGAAATTATTGTAGGATGACATAAAAGAAGTTAATAATATGTTTTTATATTACCTGGTGATACTTCATTGTTTTACATGCTAGGATTTCCCCCCATTTATTATTACAGAAATGAGCTTTTATCAGAAATGGAAGACCATTGTGGATAATTGCAACTGTTTTTTCTCATATATAGTATAATTTTTAAAAAAACGATTGGAAAGTATAAATCTTTCTATCAAAGATTACTTATATATATTCTAGAAATATGTTTTCATGTTTTGTGTTTAATTGAAATGTAATGAAAAACTAACAACCTTGTGGGGGAAAAGTAATTCAAGTGAATATTTTTGACTTATTACATGTAGTCACACCTCACATGAAACACTAAAACACAAACACACACACACACACACACACACACAAACACACACACCTAGCATCACAAGTTTCTTATAGCTCTTTTTTTACATAGTATTTTTAAAAATCTTTTGGGTAGACTTTTGCTTTAAGTTCATGAATATTAATGTGGATAAACTGAAAGTATAGTAAGAGAACACATAAGTACATATTTTTAAACTATTAAAAAAAATTTCAGTGCAAATACTTGCCACAGGCTGCCATTCAAGAAAAGCACATTTTGGGAGATATAAAACTTTCAGAGACGTGTGAGTTTCAAACACAATGGTGCATTAACCTACATATCCCATGTTAAAATTTTAACAGAAAATTTCTTCCCCTTTGTAGTTATTGAAACAAGATTTAAACTTCAAAGGAATAATCCAGTGGACTCTAGCAAGGAAACTGACAACCAGAGTAATCAGAATAAAGATGCTTTAGACACTACTCATACTTGCAAATAATTTATGCACTGCTATTAGCCTCTTAGCCAAAATGGTCCAAGGAAATTTGTTAAAATCTGAATTACTTCCTTTACAGAGGCTATGCTCAGTTTTTTTTCATGTTTATGATTTCATGAAAGTACATAGATCTCTTAACATAAGGAGCTTAGAGCACAGAGTCATTATATATCCTATGCTGTAAGATGAGGGGAGAAAAGGGTGGGGTGATGAGATCTTCGTATATCATTCCTCGGGTGAATATCATCAGACACATTTAGCCAATAATGAAGAATGTCATATGGGTTCCTTTCCTATGGGCCTGTCTATAAACATTCACGACATGAAAACATTCAGGGAAAAATCTAGCCTACCCTCTCCCTACTAATACAAGTTTATAAAGATTACTTTTAATTTTCATTTTAGCTGAAATGAAATTTTTAATTCTCATTTTAGCTTTTACTCTTAATCTTTATGCTTGGGAAGATAGACCCTGTATTAGTTTTCTTACCTAGGGAACTGCCACAGGAAAATACCATGAACATTTTGTATGGGCCAGATGTACAGGCTGAGTCCTGTGTTCAGGCTTTCTTAAGATTACAGGCGAGGTTTCATTTGGGGCTTTGGTCTCAGCTGAGGCTCCTGGCCATGGACTTCTGGCAGGATTTTTTTTCCTTGTCGTTTTTTGTTCTAGGTCTCTGTAGTCTTGCTGTCAACCATAGAGGGTGCCCTTGGGTTCTTACTGTGCAGCCTTTTCCACTAGGTTGTCTTACAATTTAACAGTTTCTTAAGACTAGCAGGTATATCTTTCTTTCTTTTTTTTTTAATTTATTTATTTATTCATACAGAACTGGGGTACAGGCCAGAGATGCGGAGGGTGAGAGGATTCACCAGAGACAGAGTGGGGAGCAGAACAGGTAGATGGACGAAGTACACTGCTGAGGGGAGCAGCGTGCGGGTCAGGAGAGGTCTGCCACGCCATGTGGATCTCCTCCGGGGCAGGCGGGAATCAAACTCATGTGGAAGTGGCTTAAGCTTCTTAGTGCAGTGCTTTAACCCGCTGCGCCACCAGGGAGGGCCAGGTATGTCTTTCTTTTAAGAACCCGCCTAACATAGTCAGCCCATCCAATATAATCTTCCTTTTCATGCACTCGAAGTCAACTTCTTATGGATCATAATCACATCTATAAAATGCCTTCTAAAATAATTTATTCCATCGGTGTCCAAGGGGAAGGAATTTAATGGGGTGTGTACACAGAAGCTGGGAATTTTGAGGACCCACTTAAAAATCTACAGTTGTGGTCCTCCCTGGTGGTGCAACTTACTGTAAGGATGCAGCCCTGCAAGTGAGCCACAGCCACTTCAGTGCTAGTTCCA